CGTGATTGAAAATATTTATCCCTTGTGATGGAATACTCAACACAGTCAAGCAAGTCATGCTTGACCGTGATTCTTTCATCACAAGGGATACAAAAAGGAGGATCCTCACCTTTTAATAGGTACTCATGCGTATATCTTGTGTGGCCAATACGACATCGTCGTATGATGACCTCTTCAAATCTGGACTGACAGCCCAAGTAGGTGTAACCGATAGTTGGTTTTATTGCATGTAATTTATTTATACCTACTTGGGTGTCCCACTTCTTTTGCATCAGATCACGGATATAAGATCTAATAGCAGCTTTGTAATCAGAGTATGGAATAAGAAGTGGTGTCACAGATTTGTTGAGTGCTGCCTTGGCAGCAAGATCGGCCATTGTGTTCCCAGAAATGCCAACGTGGCTGGGTAACCAACAAAAGACGATGTCGCATTGGCCAGTAGCAAGATCATTATATAATTCGATTATTTCAATTAAAAGTGGATGTTTGCAAGAGAGATTTTGAATAGCCTGAAGACACGAAAGAGAGTCAGAAAATATTATATATTGTTTATGTTTGGGATGTCTTTGAATATATTTAAGAGCTGTTAATATGGCGTTTGCTTCTGCTGTGAAAATAGAGCTGTTATTGGGTAATCGAGAAGAGATTGCTCTGGATCCAATGACGGTGGCACAAGCAACCGCACCACCATCCTTGGACCCATCTGTAAATAAGGATGTGTATGTAGTATATTTAGTTTTTAATTGATTAAATTCTTGTTTATATTGTAATTCATTTGTTTCTGATTTTTTAAATGTTGTCAGTGTAAGGTCAACCTGTGGCCTCACCAATTGCCAAGGAGGAGAAGAAATAAGACGGGAAGGAGCTATATCTTCTAGCTCAATGCCAGCAGTAGAAAGGAAAGGTTTCACTCTTATACCAAGAGGCGGAACAAGAGAAGGCTTCTTGTTATACAGATCTTCATATACTGGATTAAAGACACAGTTATATGCAGGGTTTGACTTATTGGAATAAAGTTTTGTTATATACTGTAAAATTAATTTTATACGGCGTTGTGTAAGAGATGGCTCATCAGCCTCGACGTAGAGGCTGTCAGTTGAATGATAAATGTACATACCTGGTTGTATCTAACAAGTAGCCCGGCTATGTGGTGTTTGGGAAACTCTCATATCCTGAAGACCCGTGGTGGAACCCCCGAGCAAGATACCGTTCTTCTTAATTTCTGTGATATAACCATCCTTGGCCAAAGAGACGTAAGGTGTGGTGATGTCATGTTGATCAATCATTTGGGTTCTTTAAAGTCTGCCAGGATCCACCCGCATATACACGCTGTCAGTCAAGTGTAGGACGTACAAGGTGTCTTCCTCACCGTACCGATCGAATCCCTCTGTGTCTCCTAGGTCCCCGAGCGTGACGTTGGGACGATGACTAGTCATTGCTATACTACTATCACAAGATAGTTTCCAACTGTTTTTCTGATAATAGTTCGGGGGTGCACTTCAACCCCATAAGGTGTATGTTGTTGGGTAGGAATATCTTGGTGACTGATATCATGTCTTCCACGGTCACCGTGACCCCCTGCAGACTGGTGTGGGAGTCGACACCCACCCGCACGTAAACAGTGCAAACATGATACTGATGTTGTTTGGCCCACCGGAGTTTGATCCAATTCACGACTTCGACTTCGCGCTGCGATGGTTCACCTAGGTAGACTTGGATGACCAGCGTGGAATTCGCCGGTAGACTCGCCAGGATGTTGACCACGCCTTCGAATTCAGACACCACCTGCAACCCTACGTTTTGCATCCCGGGTTTACTCGATAGCATGTGGGCTGCCATACTCGAGAGTGAGCTGTTGACTACGCTAGGCTTCTGCGCCGGGATGAAGCCACCAGCAGGGTTCCGTTGTTCACGACTTTGTTTAGGTAGTTGTCTTTGTTCTCCATGCACACTTAGTGGGAGCTGAGCGTGATGTTGAGAAACCAGTTGAGGGTAACAACACCCACTTGTCGTCGTCGGTGAAGACGACGGGATCCTGATTGTTTCGAGCAAAGGTCGAGCAAGTCGAACAGTTTGCCGCCGAATGATGGGTGTACCGACCATCTATTATCACCGATGCGGACTAGGTCGAACCGAGTGTTGAGGGCCGTTCCTGAGGTATCGACTATATCACCTAGGTTTCTACCGCTGGAGGTGACTTCAACGCGTTTGTAAATGCTGTTTTTAAGCTGTAAGGCATACAGTCTACCCTCTACTCCGTGGGGCGTCGAACCCGCGTGTGTCCCCGAGGTCAGAGATCCCTACATTGACGCATTTTTTCAACCTCATACCGGGTCCTTGAGCGCTAGTCATTTTATGTGCAGCGTTATGCTGAGCTATCCTATATTCACAGGATTATGCTTTGATCTAAAACTGATATTACCAACTCCGGGATGGTGCCCCGAGTTAACCTCTTGTAGGGCTCTCAGCAGCGTTGAAGGGCGTTCGACCTGAATGTTGTCCTTCGTGCTCAGCTGATCGAGATGAATGCACAGCTCGTGGTACGGGACTAGGTCGGGTGACTTTGTACCCATGACGGTGGTTGTGGGTTTTATCTCGTCCGGCGGCAGCCTGAGTGTCCTCACCAATGGTCGGCCGAGCCTTAAGGGGTTTATTCCATTGTTGGTTAACACCACTGTGCCGTTTGAGTCGTTCATCTTGAGTTCGGCTCCCACGGGCTTGAAGGCTTCATCGCTTAGTGAGCACACGCTGTAGTAGCTGTCAGTTATGTGGTTACGGACGCAACTGACGAACAGCTTGTTGTTGCTGTCGTTGATGTTGGTCCATCGCGTAGGTAGGTGATATCGCAGAGTGCGACTTCGAGTTGACCCGACGTGTTATCGATCGCGTGCATCAGTTGAACGGACTCACCGCTCGTTATTCCTGGAAGGGTCACGTACATATTGAAGTATATATACCCATTATATAATACTTTTAAAATGTACAAGCCGGGAGTGATTTATCCTAAAAGCGATACGAAGGTCACCGCTACCGATCTCACACACATGAAGATCATGGTGGATGCCAAGGAGGGTTCCCACTTTCGAGCTCGATTTATCAATGTGTTCGAACGGATAAAGGCTTTCGGTGATGAACGTCAAGGCAGTCCATGCTTGGTTCAACAACCCGATGTAGTTCTGGCAGAATCAACTCAACTTCGCGGTCTGGTGCGCGATGACTGGGTGTGGCTTGACATTGACCGACAATCGGCATGATGCGCTGAGTAGGTCTGTGTTCATGTTTCACGTGTACTACCAGGTCAGGCATATCCTCAAAGAGATAAGTGCCCCGCTTCCGCAGGACAAGGTATGGGATGCATCGAACAATCCGCACGATCGGCAGGCTTACAAACGGATTTGTGGTGAATTCAAATTTGACCTGAAAACGGATTGGCGTATACCGGTGGCAGTGAATCATGGTTTGGGTATTCCATACAGTGATGGACTTCCCGTGAAAGAAGCCAGTTCTGCTCTGTTGAAAAAAGATATCCTACTTACACCAGACTATGTTCTGAGAAGTAATGAGTGGAGAGATGTCCGCATGAATTTTATAGGTGAAGGTAGAATTCCTTTCACCATCCACAAGGTCAAGCAGCCTCAATACGTTGAAGACAATTGGAAAGTATATATGTTGGATATGTCGAAAGGGCTTACTCGCGCCGGCACCATCCGCTTGAACGAGTCGATTCGAACGTATGTGTGGGCCGTGCTGGGTGTGCAGGTGCAAACGCGTTCCAGCATCATGGGCGCCGGGACTGCTTACGACGCGCAGACACAGTTTGTATCCAACGTTGAGGATGCTATTAATGCTCCAGTTGATCTACCGAGTGCCATCCAACGCTACCAAAACGTATTGGAATACACCCGGTCGAAAGTCGACTATGTGTTCGACGTAGGACTGTACATGGCCCCGAGCAACATGCAACTGAGAGTCAACTAAGTGGTGGGCTACAACAACGAAATAGTCATTGCCACGGCCGACCAGTAGTTTGGTATCAACCCAGGTATCAACGTGAGTCACGTCCCACCTCCCACGACCGGTGAAACGTGTATAGTGGTGTCACCCCCGAAGCCCAGGGTTCAACCAGCACCACAACCCCTGCCACCAGACCGGGTGGCTGAAAACAAGGAACACCTAGATAGAAAAGCGCTAGTGGTCGGGGGATCGCGGTTGGCTTGGGCCTCATTTGGTTAAAAATTCCTTAGCAGCTACGATGGCTGCCCACAGGTTTTGCCCGAACCACGTGACAGTTTTAGCTAGCGTACTCAGTAGCCACGAGACGATGTCACCCAGGATGCCGGTCAGGGCTTCGGCGGCCCTACCCGCGAGTTTAGCCAGGGCTTCCCCGAGGGATTTCAGGTGTCTTCTCACCCAGTCTCTGGCGTCGCCTCCAGGTGGGGTTGGGGGTGTTCATATGCCACTGCCTACCGTCAGCGACACGACCAGGGTTGATATGATGAAGCCCAATGCCGTCAGAACGTTGGCGATGGTGATCCCTTGCTCTCGGAACAAAATTCGGATCCTGTCAGCCAACGTGGTGTCCTGGTAGAGGGCTCAATCGATGGTTTCCCGCACGCGGCTGATCTGGGACCGAAGCTGTTCTCGGAAAGAGGACGCCGCTTCCAGCCGGGTCGACCTTTCCTCTTCCAGGCCGCGCAATCGTTCCTCGATGATGGCTTTCAGAGACTCGTCGTCTTGGACCTGGCTGAGTTTGTTTTTTTCACGGGCGATGTGGGCGTCGATCGCGTCCAGTTTGGCCGTGTTGTCCACGAGTGATCAACGAATGGTTTGCATGGCCTTGTCCACCCCTCGCAGTTCCCTAATGGTAAATTCGAACCCGGGTAAGGGTTTGTTATGGTACGTTTTTCGATGGCACGTTGGGGCTTATCATTGAGTTCGGCCCTGGTAGCTTGCAGATCTTGGACAACCTTCGGGGGAAGCTAAGGTCGATAATCTATGAGGTCTAGTTCATCGCGGATACCCCTATAGCGATTGGTGAGTGTCGATAAGGCAAGCTGTTCTCCCGTGCGTGCGTTCATGAGATTGATCCCGGGTGATCCTTCAATCGCATCATACCATCCCTGTTGATGGTGAACTTGGAATAGTTTCGGCCCAACACGTCGTAGTATTCGTTGACGGCCTGCTTCAGGAGTTCGTTGACTTGCGTGAACGAGGTTTCCTGCTCACCCCTGAACGAGTGGGCACTATCATCCCAGATATCATCCATCTGGATGTCGTCGTAACCACCACCTTCAGCCATTATATTTCATTATATTAAACTTATATATTTCATGTAAAAAACAATGTCATACGGTAGGAAGCTAGACCCTTTCCGGAGATCAAGAGATCCTCTAGGCGTCAGAGCCGTGCGTCAGTCGGTGACCATCACCAACAATCCCAGCAAGATAGACCAGAACCAAACGCTGTTGGTTCGATCCCCAAACCTGGGTGAGAATGACCTCATCGTGCCCGGCACGGTACGACTGGTGTTCAACCTCACGTTGACCTCCGACAACGACAAACGCGAGCTCGTGCGGAATGTAGGTCGAGCCGTCATCAAGAAAATGACCATGAAGATCAGCGGCAACGAGTTGCTGAGCATCGACGACAGTGACGTGTTTCACTGCTACGGTGACCTCTGGAAAAGCAAGGGAGAACGCGTCAACGACGTGTACCAAGGCATCAGTAAGTCGACCAGGTTGAGCTCGACAAGATCCCGGCGGGTGAAAAGGCCATCGCCCAAACGTACGGGAACAGGTTCTGCGTGCCGCTCGACTTCGAGTTGGTCAATGGGCATGCGCCGTTTTACCAGTCTGCGCTGGGTGATAGGCTGGAATACGAGCTCACGTTCAATGACTACAGCAAAGTAGTGCGTACGCCGAATGGTGATGAGGCCAGTTACACCATCGACAACATCTCTCTGGAGTTCGACATGGTCACTAGCCCAGAGCTGGCCAGGCAGGTTCGAAACCAGTACTCGGGGAAGGTGGCCATCCTGTACAACCGGGTCCTGTGGCACCGGACGATAGTACGGGACAAGAGCAACACGCTGTGGAATATCAACCTGAACGTGCCGGCGCGATCGATGAAAGGCATCCTGATCATCCCCCGTGGAGGATTACGAGCCGTTCCGAAGGGACAGAGAGAAGTTTTTCAACCCCGAGATCACGAAGGTGGAAGTGACCATCGAGGGCGTGCCCAACCAGCTGTTCAGCGCTGGTTTGAGGGCAACGAAGCTACTGACCCGGCACCCACACGTCATCAAGGACCTGGATCTATCCTCTGTGCAGATTGGGGAATACCTGGCCACCAAGTACGCGGAAGACCGTTTTCGTGCTGGATATGCTGGAGGGGTACTACCGGGATACCTTCGATAACATAGTTATCATGTGCCCTACTCTGCATATAAACAAGACGTACATGGAGAGGCCTTGGGTGATGACGGACCCGGACGTACAGAGAGTCGACCCGGGAACACGCCTGCAGGACTGGCTTATCATGGGAAATTTAAAGGGGAGTCGACGCTGTTCATCCTGGACGACTGAAGCACTAACAAGGAGATAACAAAGAAGAGAGACACGCTATCGTTCCTAGCCTTCTCCGGCCGGCACGCAAAGCACACCGTCTGGGTGCTATCGCATAAGTTCAACTCGGTACTGAAAGACCTCAGGGAATAGATGCGATTGGTAGCCTTATTTCACTGCAAGGACAGGGATTCGTTCGAGGAGTGTTTGAGGGAGAACGATGTGATGAGCAAACTAGAACGGGAACTGGTGAAGAGACAGCTAGCCGAGACGAAGCATGATAAGCTCGTGCACAAGACCGACCAACCCGTGGCTTTCCAAGTACTTAGCAATGCTTAGCAAATGCTTAACAATGCTTAGCAATTAAAGGTTACAGTTCTATACAGATGGCAGCTTTTGAAGTGCTCATCGTGTGTAACTTAACCTTCATCTCGCTTTTCGCGTGCATCGGCTATTATATTATTAGAATTAGGAATCGCTCGTTACATTTTAGGAAGGAGTGCAACGACCTGCTCGAACAACTGTTGGTGCCGGAGCGAGAGAAACTGGTGGATGACAAGCGAGAGAAAGTGGTAGCGCTGGCGGTCGGCGGCAAAGCTTTGGGGACTACGCTCCCGATAAGATTCAGAAACTACCCACCGTTGAGGTCGATAAGCTGTACGCAAGATACGAAACCCGGCTCGGGGCCGAGATGACGAAAACTATTGGGTCGACCATGACGCAGATCTACCCCGGTTTGGCATCATACTTCCTTCCCATTCCACCGGAACGCCGTCTTTACCTGTGGGAGGATCTCGAGGACCCGTTCATCGAACACACTTTGAGCGCCGTCAGCTGCATGCTGTACCACAAATACGGCATGTTCTTAGCCCCGGTGATGGCAGCGATCATCACGGCGAAGCATTGCCAATTTAAAGAGGGGACAAATAATAATAATAGCATACAAGATGGATCAGGAAGTGACTCCGACAGAGGAGGAAACCCCGACACAGGAGGCCCCGACACAAGTCGAAGCAGAAGAACCCTAAGAGGGTCGCGGCCGGTAGAAAAGGGGGGCTAGCCAAACACCACAAGAGTAACTACACTCTGTGGGTTGCAGGGGCAGCTGCTCCGGCTCTCTCATTGTTCATGTTAAATAGGCCACAACCAGCACCAACCCCCACACCACAACCCCAATTAGAGGTAAACCCCAATATTATGTTATAATTAAATATATATTTCTATATCATATACATCATGTCTGAGGGGAAAACGTTCGTTAACGAAGTATACCACGCCACCGTGGTCGCCGGCCTAGTCGTAGCATATGCTCGGTTGACCAAGATTAACGATTAACGAACGACTCGAGCTTGAAAACCATGAGACTGAGAACTGATAGGCCTAGCAGTGACTGCGTTAATCGCAAAGCAAATAAACTAGATACCCATATGAGTATACCAAAGATGAGACCTGCCCCGTATCGATGCCAGTACGTGCCTATGGGGAAGACCGAGACCTGCGGTAGGAGATGCAGGACTGAGGGGTACTGCTGTTTCCACAGGAGGTGTTTCATGAACTACACGAGCTCCGTGTGCAGCATCGGAGTTAAATGCCACTACTGCCTATGTAAAGCCCACGGGGCAAAAGGAGGTCTGGCACCAGCTTATCTACGAGAAGAAAAAGGACTACATAAACGAACGTAGGCGCCTCCTCATGATGGAGGCCTAATTAGAGATTGTGTACACCTAGGTATGATAATGAATAGTCTACAGTTCGTGGAAGTTGAACCCACGGAAAGTCGTTGCCTGAGAAGCTGACAGATGGATGTAGGCAAAAGTATAGATATCGGTGTCCTCAAACCTTTGATTATTGGCGAACTCTATAAGCTGGGGTGCCTCGCATTTGCAATGATGGTGAAAGTAGGGTTTGATGTACCGTGGACTAAGCACACTTGGAATTACTTTGATGGTGGACTAGTAGATGTGCATCAACACGGGGAGATAGATATGATTGTCGATGCCTCGTTGCAAACAATACAAGAATCCCTACTACTCTGTGCATGTTGCGGGTGGGTCGAGGGTATAATCGATGAGGTCTATCTAAATATATATTAAGGATTTTATAGCGCCTCCTTTATTTTTTTATTAAGATAAGGTTGGAGGAGTTACCTCCCTTGCCAATTAGGGATTTGGTTTACATCTGAGTATAACAATGAGAGCTCAGGCAGATTGCGAGAGAACGAGGTGTAGCCGGTTACTTTCGATTGAGGAAACCCCAGCTGTTTAGCTTACTTGGCATACAACCCCCTCCCACGGTGAAACAACTCAAACTACAAGCGAAAGAGCTGGGGCTAACAGTTTATTCCCGCCTGAGGAAAGCCGGGCTAATCACACTGTTGCACGACCCCATACGACCTCCCACGGTGAAACAGCTCAAACTCAAAGTGAAAGAGCTGGGGCTAGTAGCTTATTCCAATATGAGGAAAGCCGAGCTCGTCAAACTGTTGCATCAGCACAGAGTCGTCGATCTACAGTTCGTGTGACGATTGCATGAGGTTAGCTATCAGGTCCGCCTTGTTTCTGGCCGATGTTAATTTGAACAGACCTTCGAGCTATCCCCAAGACGATGGGCTCAACTTGGACGATATAGACGAACCCAGCCCCATATCCCATGTCACCAGAATCGAGAAGCAGAACCCCATAGCCATCAACGTCTTTGGGCACGAAGGCAACAAAACGATCGTGCAGAGGATCAGCCCAATGGAGGGTCGTCGCGTGATCAATATATTCATGATCCAGCGAGGTGACAAGTATCACTAAGCGTGGGTAAAACACTTCAGCAGGCTGTTGTACGACCAATCGGCACACAGAGAGAAGAGACACTTCTGCGAATGGTGCCTGCACGGCTTCACCCGGGCCGACCTGCTGGAATCACACTGGGAGGATTGCCTAGGTGTGGGGCAGACGGCCATATGAATCGACATGCCCAAGGAAGGCGACAACACCCTAAAATTCGACAACCACAAGAACAAGATGTCCGTACCTTACATCATCTACGCTGACTTCCAAGCCCTTGTCAAACCCGTTGACATCGGGCCGGCCCCCAACACGCACAAAATGCAGGAGCACGAGGCCTGTGGGTTCGGATACGTGGTCGTCCGATGCGATGGGGAACGAACGCTCCGTGGTGTACAGGGGTCCCGACGCGGCTGAAAAGTTTCTCATGTGCTTGCAGCAGGAAGAGAAAACCATCAGGAAGAGGTTGTACACCGTCGTTCCCATGTGCATGACCCAAGCCGACAGGCGAGCTCACGGCTGCAGCACTCACTGCCACGTGTGCAACGGTCTGCTGAACGGCGATTCGGTGAGAGATCACTGTCACATCACCGGTGAGTACAGAGGCGCCGCTCACAGCGCGTGCAACCTCAAGCTCAGAATCAACCCCAAAACAATCAACATCCCCGTGGTCTTCCACAACTTGAGAGGGTACGACTCTCACTTGATCATGCAGGCCATCGCGAGGGTCGACAGCAACCTGACGTGCATCCCCAACAACATGGAGAGATACATCTCCTTCTCCCTGAATGGCCTGAGGTTCATAGACTCAGTTCAGTTCCTGCTGTCGTCTCTCGACAGTTTGGTCAAGGCCAACGATACCTTCCCCATCACCGATCGATACACCGACGCCGAGACTCGGCCCTGCTGATGAGGAAGGGTGTTTACCCCTACGAGTACATGGACAGCTGGGCCAAGTTCGCCGAGACCCGACTACCCCCCATCGGCCGATTTTACAGCAACTTGACCGACTCGGCCATCACCCAGGACGATTACGACCACGCCCAGAATTGTGTGGGAGAAACTGGGCTGCAGGAACCTGGGTGATTACCACGACCTGTACTTGAAAACGGACGTACTCCTGCTGGCTGACGTGTTCGAGACGTTCAGAAAGACGTGTTTCAAGCAGTATCAACTCGACCCCGCATGGTACTACACCAGCCCCAGTCTCTCTTGGGATGCCTTGCTGAAAAAGACCGGGGTCAAACTAGAACTCCTCACCGATTACAACATGCACCTGTTCATCGAGAAAGGATTGCGAGGTGGGATTTCCATGGCCTCCAAACGCTACGCGAAAGCCAACAACGAGTACGTGAAGGGCTACGACTCTAGCAAGCCCACCACCCACATCCTCTACCTCGACGCCAACAACCTGTACGGCTGGGCCATGAGCCAGTATCTACCCACCGGGGGATTCGAGTGGGTGCCTGAGATAGACGTCATGAGCATACCGCCGGATTCGGGGAAGGGTTACATACTCGAAGTGGACTTGGAGTATCCAGCAGCATTACACAAGTCACACAACGGCTACCCCTGGCTCCAGAACGTTTGACGGTGGACCCGGACTGGATGTCTGACTACCAACGGAACTTGCTGGGGGTAATAAGCCAGCCAACGTTGAAAAACTCGTACCCAACTTGATGACCAAAACCAAGTACATCATTCACTATCGCAACCTGCAGCTGTACCTGTCGCTGGGTATGAGGCTGACTAAAATTCATAGGGTGCTCAAGTTCAACCAAAGCCCCTGGATGGAGCCCTACATCAAAATGAACACGGACCTGTGAAAGCTGGCCACCAGTGACTTTGAGAAGAACCTCTACAAGCTCATGAACAACTCGGTGTTCGGTAAGATGATGGAGAACCTGAGGAAACGCGTGACCGTGAAGCTAGTCCGGTCGAAAGAGGAAGACAAGCTCAGGAAACTGATAGCCAGCCCGGCATTCAACCAGAGCAAGATATTCACCGACGATCTGGTGGCCCCACACATGAGGAAAAGCCACATCAAATTCAACCGGCCTGTCTACGTGGGGATGAGCATCCTTGACCTCTCCAAGCACCTGATGTACAACTTTTACTATAACGAGCTCAAGAAACAGTACGGTGCCAGGTGCGAAGTGCTGTACACGGACACGGACTCCCTGCTGATGGAAATTTGAACTGAGGACGTGTACGAGGACATGAGAAACACATGCACCTGTACAACACCAGCGACTACCCCAAGGGCCACCCCATGCACAGACAAGTAAACAAAAAGGTCCTCGGTAAGAGGAAGGACGAGTGTGCCGGCATGCCGATCGCCAAGTACATAGGCTTGAGGCCCAAGATGTACTCCATCCTGAAGGCCGACAACGGCGAAATCCGAAAGGCGAAGGGTGTCAAGAAATACGTGGTGAAACAACACATCAAACACGCCAGATTCAAGGAAGTCCTGTTCAAGACCTGCACCTTCAAGCATCGAATGAATATGCTGAGAAGCGACGGACACAGCATATATACAGGCTTACGATAAACAAGACGTCCCTGTCATCGTTGGACACGAAGCATTGGATAGCCGTCGATGGGATCAACACGTAAGCGTACGGGCACGAAAAATTGAACTAAAAATAGACGTATGTATACGATGTCACGAAGCCTTAAGACCATTTACTACAGCCCACGTTGGTACTGGAAAGGGGGTAGCGCCATACATAAGCTTGCAAAAATGGCGAGAGTATCCCCGGATAAGGCCAAAGCGTGGCTTGAAAAACAAGCCCTGTGGCAGATCTACCTAACGGCGCCACGCTACGTGCCTAGAAGAAAGTTCGGCATTGACGTACCCAATAGCGTCCACCAGGCCGACCTCCTGTTCCTACCCCACGACAGAAGGTACAAGTATGCCCTGGGCGTCGTTGACGTGGCCAGCTGCTACAAGGAAGCTGAGCCCTTAACCGCGAATGACTCGGCCCAAGTAGCCCGTGGATTAGAATGCATATACAAGCGCAGCCCGCTGACATGGCCTACAGAGCTGCAAGTCGATCCCAGACGGGAGTTCATGGGTGCCGTGTCACAACTGCTAGCCCAGCACGGCGTCCAAGTCAGGA